GGGGGTGGGCATTTTTAGAAATATTCATTCACAAATTTTAAAAGGCCAACAGCAAAAGGAATCAAGCAACAAACAATGACCACGATGAAGAGGAAGCTCAAGAATTCATCACTGCTTTTCTTGATGCAAATACGTAGTCACAACCAGGCCCCATTATTTTTTCTTTATAATCTATAACATGGCTCCCCCTCCATTATCCTGCATAAGAAAGTTCTGTCATTTGCCTTCTCTTTGACTATATTCAGCATATAAAGCTACTTGATATTAACATGAAAAGCATTTATGAATATGAAATAAATATAGAATATTAAATAAACTAGAAGTTACTTTTAAAACAACAGAGACTAAGTTTTTTCCAAATATATTTATTTACCACATTCTTCACATATACAATATTTTGCCATTTTTTGTGTTTGCATATAAAGTTTAAAATTTTTTAAGTTAATGCAAATACAATGCATATGAAACAAAGTGACAGCACCAGTGATTAGACAACCAAGGATTTAGGGGAGAAAAGGAAACAGGAATTTAAGAAAAGAGCAAATAAGAATGAAATAGAAAAGACATCTTTAATTAGAGAAAAACCTTTAAACCAACCTCAGATTTCCACGATCCTCCTTCTGCTCCTAGAATGCTACGGGTTTAACGCACAAGCTGGAGCGGTACAGGCACAGGGAGGAGGCAGCTGCCGGGGCCCCACAGCAGGGGCTTGCCTGGGGCTTGAGCTCTCCTCCCCTCCGAGGATTGGCACATCTGCACATGGGAATTCAAACTGTATCTCTAAACGGCTGGTGCATGACCTGCCTCACGTTTCCAAGTTATTTAAAGCAAAGAGAAAGTACACCCACCACTTCATTAAGAAAAACAACAAACACTACAAAGCATGGTGAAGTATCTGCTGGCTTAAAGGCTAGCACTCCGTTAGGAAGGGCACACTGACAGCAGAAATGTAAATGTAATAATGTAGAAATAAGGAAGAAAACGTAGGAAAAAAGGAGTACAGAGGCAGTTTTTAGATTTTTTAATAACTATACCACTTCTGAAATTAACCTTTTCTTTTTCTCAAATCCAAATCAGCTATTAAAGTCTTCATACTTTACAAAAAAAAAGAAGGAAACTTTATTAAGGATTTAGTAAATTGTATAAATTGTACAGCTTTTCTACTAACCTAAAACTTCTCAATTTTATCATTATTTATTGATTTTCAAACTGGGCATTAAATTTAGGATGGAAAGAGCATGGGCAGACCAAGCAAGAAGGGCTCCACTCCTGTTTCAACCAGAGTAGCCATATTTTATCTCCTTTATAAACTGGATTCCAACACTCGACTACCTGATAGAAACTTTAGTAATGTTAGAAACTAACCAAATACTTATATAAGCTCCACTAATAAGACTCATTTTGTTCCTCAAAATATTTATGTCCCAGTTTCTTCTATTTCCTCGCCATAAACATAAAGCCTAGAGATAGGATATGTGAAACAATGTCCAAGACAGATCTTTCTCTGATAGTAAAAATATATATACACACATATATGTATATTAAAACTATTATAAACTACCTAAGTTACATGAAATTTTGCACAAGATTCGTAGGAAAGTCACTTAAACTTTATTAACTATCTTCCATTAAGAAATTTATTCTGCCTTCTAAAATAACTACTCTTTAAACTGGCAGAAGTAAGCCCTCATTAGTTTCCTTCATCTCCACAAATTCTAAAACTTAAGTATAAAGTATACACACAAGTTCTAAACCTTGACTTAAATACCCTGGTAAAAGTAGAAGTGCATTTCTTTTTGGAGAAAGGAAGTGCTGCCCTACCCTAATGCTAATAAACACATAAATCTGAAAGGGATTGTGGAGAGGTGGAGACATGAGTGAGTGCCTTGAACAATCGCAGTCAGTTCTTGTCAATCCCATTATGGGAGCGTCCCCTGATCAAGGTGCAATGCCATTCCCATCATCCTGAGAGTCTATTTAACAGAAAAGCATATATTCTTGGAAGCGTGCAGCATTTGAAACATTTCACATTTTTAAAGGATTCCAACGAAATAATGACTTAGGTTTAGAATTTACGGAGGGTAAGGACATAATGAGGCCCTGTTTCTGCCAGGGCTAGTGCTTTGCAACAACTCTATGAGGTAGTTATTATTATCCCCATTTTACAGATGAGGAAAACTGTGGCTCTGATAAACTAAACTTTGCCCAAGGTCACACTGCTAGTAAGTATGGAGCTATCTAAATCAAAAGTCCATGCGTGCTCTTTCTTCTGCACCAGTAGTTTTCAAACTGGGTATTTGGAGTAGGAGAAAATGGGTCTAAACAAGAAGGGCTCCAGCCCCCCATCCCTATCTCAACCAGAAGCAGCTATATTTTATCTGTTTTATATGCTGGGCTTAAGCGTAACAATTTATTTTTTAGAATGGTTTCATAACGAAAGCAAACATTTAAACTACTGCCCTACGTCAGGCCCTCTGCTTAGTACAGTTCTATCGGTTTGCCTTCACTGTTTTTCCCCAGACAAAACAATGAACTTTATTCTGAATTACTTATGGCCATACAAAGCAAAGATATCTTTTTGCATAAAAGACTTCAACAATTCATGAATTCTGTCTTTTTAGGCTACATAGCCCACATGACAAACTTTTAAACACGCAATGTTCTGTTTTCTACAGACTTCAGGATTCCATTTTTCAGGGAAGTATAGTTTCAAAATCACAATGAAAATTGCCTATACTAAATGAATTCCTTCTACAACAATAATCTGTATTTGCAAATATAGAATACTTACACACCACACTTTCTTGACCCGCCAATATCACCCTCTTTTACCTTGCAACTACCAAAAAAGGAAAAAACATTTCCCCCACTCCTTTTGCTTCCAAACGTTGTAGTTACGGACAGAATAAAAGCAGCCTCAGCTGGCTAATTAATTTCTAACAAAGCAAGCAACTTTACCTAGGCAATTGCAGATTAATCCATCAAAACCAAAAAAACCTCAGTTTTCCTTCACTATCCAAGATTGTGAAAAGCATCTAATAAATTTAGTAATGGTTACGATCATTAATACTTCTTACAGGAAACAAATTTTAAACTCAGTTTTCAGAAGGAAAACACTGTCATCCTGTAACTGAAAATAATTTTCATCCCTATTAGCAAAAGAGGGGGGGAATCAATAAATCTTCCTGAAACACATTAGTAAGAAGTTTTAGTTTTAACTATTTGTTTAAAGAGTGCAGATAGTGGTTTAAAGAAAAGACTTGCTAAAAGCAGCTAGCAATAAGACCATGGCTATCAAACTGGTTTCTTTCAGAGAAAGTGGCTATTCTTTTGTTTCTGAAAATTTCTTAGGACAGTTTTATCATTCAAAAGAGTCTATAATTATACACATATTATTTGTCGTCACTTAATCTTGGGCAGAAAAAAAATCACTAACAAACAAACAGAAGATGAGAGTTTGTTTTTTTTAAATAGCCTCGTTCAGTCCAACAAATACAGTATTTGGAATCAGTACAGAGCAACAAAATCCCCTCAATGACGGTGCACATTTACAGCACTTAGAAATACAGACCTAAGAGTTCCATTCTCACACTGCAAGAGACTGGCTTATTCATAACCAAGACTTAGACCAATCTGTTTTTGTCAGTTCCCTCATCATATTTAAAATGTAGTTATAAATTCAAGTGATTGACTCATTTTAATTTTTAATAAAAATGCCAGAAATTACAAGCCATATTAAAGCAGTCTTGTTTAGAGGTTATGGTTCCAGTACAATTACAATACCACCATACAGATAATTCCTGCTTGGGAACATGTGGAAACCTTTTAAAAAAATCACCTCCTTTGAGGTGCACTTTTGTCCACTGGAGTTGGATCTGATGTTTGAAAACTGCCTAAACTCATGTGGATCAAAGGCATGGGGAAGAAAATCGGTGACTACGCTGGGTACTCAGAGTACAAATTAAGTTGTGATTATGAAGAAACTCTGTTTACCTTCTTGTGAAACTCAAACTGACTTTAAAATAATTTGAAAAAGATTCCCCAAAATTTTTTAGGATAGTGGCAGGGCTGTTAGAATACCAAGATAGCCTCTCAAGTTGGCTGCTCCAAATAACAACAGTCTTTTGGGTAATTCATAAGTCTCACTTCCTTGAGTGGAAAGCTGAACTCCATGGTCTCTGCTACCCCTTCCAATGCTCAAGTTTTATGACCAGCATCACACCGCATACATACAAATAAAATAATTCCTACACACCACACTGTATTAACAATGGGCATCTAATAACACAGGAACATCACCTAATAGAGTACATTTTCTTGAAAATGATCACATGTTAATTAGTTTCACCTAAAGTATATCACCATGAAAAGTATAATTGAGCAAATGCAGAAACTAGCATCTGGATCTTTAATAATCACTTTAACGGAGGTGATTAATACTTATGTTACAGACTTACTAGTCTGCAAAATAATTCAAGTCAGTATTAATTAGACAATAAAATAACTGTACCAAAGGATACTTCTAAATAACTTCAAAGAAGTTATTACCTTAAAGTTTAAACAAAAATGAGTTATTTTCCATATAAGTTCCATGATAAAGTAATTTAAATACATGATTGATTCCGCAAGTCACGTTAAAAAATTCCTTTGGGGGCCGGCCCTGTGGTTGAGTGGTTGAGTTTGCGTGCTCTGCTTTGGTGGCCCAGGGTTTTGCCAGTTCGAGTCCTGGGTGTGCACATGGCAGCGCTCATCAAGCTATGCTAAGGTGGCATGCCACATGCCACAACTGGAAGGACCCACAACTAAAAGTACACAACTATGCACTGGGGGGCTTTGGGAGAAAAAGGAAAAATAAAATCTTTAAAAAAAAAAATTACTTTGGAAGTTATAAGAGGAAATATTTTTCTTTGTCCTGTGCCACTTTCTTTTTTCCCTTCCTACTTCTGTTCCTCTCAATATATAATATTATGGATGCAAATTAAAGAATTCAAGGTGAAAAGTACAATTTTGCCTCACAGAAATCATGACCTACAGTGTATAGCAAAAACAAGGTAAAAACTGAGTAGAACTGAACTTTTTTCAAAAAAATACAAATTAGGATGTATAACAAGATTATCTTTGGAAAACAGTATTTCCTTTCTTCTAGAAATAGCAAACCGTTCCACATTATTTTCTTTTCTTTCCCAGTTGCATGGTCAATTAGCATATATTCCAACTGTGTGCATGAAAAAATTTCTAAGCCAGAGGAAATTTAAATGATTTCTTCATAAGTGTTTTGGCTAATTTAGTAGCCAAGAAAACATAAGTTTAGCGTCTAATTAGATAGAGTCCAAAACAAAAAAGATATAACTTCTGAGGCTTGAGCTGATATGACCCAGCAAAAATCTGTAATTAAGGCAGCCTCAAGTCTCCCTTCTCCCACATAGGAAAAAAAACAAAGTCCTGCTTAAGTGTAAAAGATTCCAGTAAATTTCCAACAGCTCGGCTTAAGGTGAGCTAGGAACGGAGTGAGCCATCTGTAAGCCTGGAGTTGTCCAAATAATCAGATAACTTCAGTAACAGCTGGAAACAGATGTTGGCCCCACATCAGGCAGAATATCCAATCTTCAGTGTCAAGGAAGGAAACAAAGTCCAAACTTCTAAAACATGTAACGACAAGTCCAGGAACGTGGCTGGATATAATCCAGAAATGTGGGCTTCAAGGGAAAGAAAAGAATGAAAGAATAGTTTACTTGTGTGTATGAGGTGTGGGGACAGATCAGGGGTGTTAATGTTATATATTGTACATCTCCAAAATGCCTCCCAGCATGTCAGTAACCTTTAAGCTATAAACAGCTCACTAATTCAAAAGATGTTCATTATTTTTATCTACAGCACAGATTTATTCAATTAGCAGCTCTACATGAAGCTTTTAAAGGCCAGTAAACTCTACAAAATTGAATGGACTTCTCACCAAATTCCAAATAGTGACTACCTCTTTCTGGATCTTGCATTTTATTTTAGCACAGCCCTACTTTTAGTAGCCTGAAATCTAAATGGTGGTAGGTTAAGGATGATAAAATATATACACAAATTACTATAATTCAAGGTTTCAAATCACTGAATTACCTAAATGGGAACAGATGAAGAACTACTAAAGCAGCGGGAAAGGAAAGTGGAAAGAGACAGAGTGAGACTCTGAAAAGATTTCAGGCGAGACGCTGCATCCAAACTGGATTCTGATCAAATAAAATCTGAAAGGTGGAATCTGAGCGTAAAGAGCAGCGTGGCCAGGCATAGAGGCCAGAAAGCAGAGCAGTTTGTTCAGACGCACAAAGGGGATCAACAGGAAGTGAGGTGGGAGCAGGAGGGAGGGCAGGGTAACAAAAACACGAGAGACAGTAGGAGAAGCTTTGGAAGAGAAACTGATTAATTTGAGTGTGGGCATCTTCAGTTATAGATGCCCGTGAGAAATACCCAGGCAGGTATTTCAGGAAGGCAGCTCCTCAATATTTGGGAGTTACCCATATGCAGCTAAAAGCTAAAGCTGTAAGAATGAGATTCTTACATAATTACAAAAAAGAAATGAAAAATAACAAAGAATCAAGGGAAATGGGATCCTAGGCATATGAGCATAGGTGGGTATTTTTACAAAGAGTTTATTACTTTGGGGAGAAATAGGTAAAAAATACATATGTTTAGGTGGGGGGATACACATGTCATTGGGAAAACCCTGGAGAACACCTACATTTTCAAGACACAGGAAGAAAATTAGAAGGAGCTAAAGAAAAAGCAGTAAAAGAGGAGGAAAAAAAGAACTAGAAGAGTACAATGTGAAGAAAACCAAAGAAAAGAAAAATTTCAAGGACAGTGCATAAGATCAGATACTAAGTTAATGCTTTTACTCCGTTATTTCCCTCCCCTTAACCCTAATTCATCATAATCTCCACTACTCTCCCTCCCCTTTTGCCCGCCAACCCCCACAATCAGGGACAAATAGGTTATTTTCCACGCCAGGCTGGCTAATGACTCACATTTTTCAGAGGACAGTGCTGACGTGCATACCACTCTTGAGAATAAAAGCACAGGATAACTCCATTGCCCGCAAAAAGGGAAGTCCACATCATAACATTCCAAATTGGCCTTTTCCGACTATCATTGACAACGAAGTTGAAAGCCACTAAAGTTAGGAAGATAAAAGAAAATACACAGTTATCGAAATAATCTATCAGGAGATGAAGGGCCTCTGATATCTGCTGTAATCATTTAACTATCACAATGAGTATCAACTGTGTCTATACATGTTCTATTCTGGCCACTGGTCGTATAAATAAAAATGAGGCTTCTGGGGCCGGCCGGTGGCACAGCGGTTACGTGCACACCTTCCGCTTCTCAGCAGCCTGGGGTTCGCCATTCGGATCCCGGGTGCAGACATGGCACCGCTTGGCACGCCATGCTGTAGTAGGTGTCCCACATAGAAAGTAGAGGAAGATGGGCCAGGTGTTAGCTCAGGGCCACTCTTCCTCAGTCAAAAAGAGGAGGACTGGCAGTAGTTAGCTCAGGGCTAATCTTTCTCAAAAAAAAAAAAAAAGAAAAAGAAAGAAAGAAAAATGAGGCTTCAGTGTTTAAATGTGTTAATCAGTGATTAATTGGAAATCAGAGAGTATTCTGGACAGGCGAAAATATATTTCATGGAATCATTCATATTCTAACTTGTCCCTCTCCATCCACTTTAAAAAATGGTCAGTTTCTTCAGGGAATGAACACTGAGAGTTTAAGAATAAAGAAGTTGTTTATAGTTTTCATGACCTACCAAATGAATATGTTGTGAACAGTTACAAAGTTGTCAAGAGGTTATTTAGTTCATTTCCTTCCTTCAAGGTGTAACCATCTTGAAACAGAGTTGTGTATAATTACTCAAAATCTGATAAACAAATACTGCCATGAAATGGCATTACTATTTACTATCTAGTTTTCTATGTTGATTTTATACTTTATTCTCTAACTTTCTCTTTTAGCATAATACTCAGTACTCATGGCGTGCCAAGAAATACTTACTTCCAAAGAACATGAAGAGCACGAAGAGCACTGGATAGAAAAAGTTCAAGCAAAGAGCCAAGGCATATTCGTGCACTACAGCAGACACAGCAAAGACAGCTAACATGGCAGCCGCTCTGAACTTCTTCGTGAAAACCTAGCGTAAAGGAAAATATTGAAAAGTAATTTTAAAAAAGTAAGTAATTAAGCATGAACTATATACGACTTATAATTATCACACACTAAAGACACCTATTTAATTATTTATATTTGATTTTCCAAGTCTATTCCCTTGGATTAAACCAAATGTATAAAAATAATTACAAAAAACAACTATGCTTAAAAATCTGTCTCTGGGGCCGGCCCGGTGGTGCAGCGGTTAAGTTCGCACGTTCTGCTTCTCAGTTGCCCAGGGTTCGCCGGTTTGGATCCCAGGTACAGAAATGCACCCCTTGGCACACGACGCTGTGGTAGGCGTCCCACATATAAAAAGTAGAGGAAGATGGGCATGGAGGTTAGCTCAGGGCCAGGCTTCCTCAGCAAAAAAGAGGAAGACTGGTAGTAGTTAGCTCAGGGCTAATCTTCCTCAAAAAAAAAAAAATCTGTATTTTACTAAAATGAGGCATTTTCAAAAACATTAGTTGAAAGATCTGGGAATATTTTCAAAAACATTAATAGTAACATTTGTTAAGTCACTATGACTGAAAAAACATTGTTTTCAGGGGCTGGCCTGGTGGCACAGCAGTAAAGTTTGCACGTTCCACTTCGGCAGCCCAGGGTTTGCCGGTTCGGACAGCAGGTGCGGACGTGGCACCGCTTAGCAAGCCATGCTGTGGTAGGCGTCCCACATATAAAGTAGAGGAAGATGGGCATAGATGTTAGCTCAGGGCCAGTCTTCCTCAACAAAAAGAGGAGGATTGGCAGCAGACGTTAGCTCAGGGATAATCTCCCTCACAAAAAAACCAAAACAAACCCTATTGTTTTCATATATAAACACACACATCAAATCTCAACCTTTGGAATAAGATGGTATGGTAGATAGGACAGACATCTTCATTTTTACAGGTCACAAAACTAAGTTTTAGAAAGAAGGGCTTTGCCTCATCCATAAGTGAAACTACACTTATAAATGAAGAACCCTCAGTACAGTGCTATCTGCACCACAACATGCTATCAGTTAGCCAAATACTGCCCTTACTTAACAATGAAAACGTGCAATCCAGAAAGACCAGCATTTATCAACCACGTAATTCAAGATTACATTTCATCAGTCTAAATACATTCTGCTCTAAAGAATGTCTCACAGACAGATATCACGAATTGGAGAGACAGAAATCCAAACACAAGTGTTTCTCCACTTTTAACAAAGAAACAAAAACAAAAAACAAATGAAAAAAACTAAAGGGTGATTATTTGTTAGCAATGAGATTCATAAGAAATCACCCATTATTGGTGGATCATTTCAACTCTTCCAAAAACCTCCAGGCATTCTTACTTTGGAATCATGCAAAATAAAATCCAGAGCAAAAGGATGGCATTAGACCTAGTAACTGTACATACTGGTCTCTAAGGAGTACTATTCAAAGCAGAAGGTTTCTTAGACATAAATGTCTCACAAGAGAATTGAAGACAACCAAGTATAACTTCTTCCAGCTGCACAACGCTAATACTTTCTAGAAAAGAATCTCCATTTCTTGAACAACATCAACTAAATCCCGCTGCTTACCCAGAGAAAGTCCTTGTAAGCATAGTAATACAGCCAGTCATGGACTACCACATTCCAGGTCCTGTAATAGTTGGAGTAAGATGTAGAGTTCCACCAATCCTGAGGAAAAAGGTAAAAGTATAAAACCACACATACACACAGAAGTCAAAGCAACCCCCCAAATATTCCCAAAGAACATACACATATAACATAATACCTAGAGCGTTATGATAAATTGTTAGTCCATACAGAGATGTCAGAAAAATCTTAAAACCTATTTTGGTTATTGTGTTCAACGACATTAATTCTAGTTCTACATATGATTACATCCCTAGGTGCATTTTGTCTCATTATCAAACAAGTCATGATAGAAGATATAGAACATACAGAATCATTAAATTTAATATTCAGCTAAATAGCAATTGGTAAATCTGCCTTATCTTTCTAAAACACAATGAGAGAATTGTAAGGTCACACAGACTTAGATAGCATGCTAAACCTAAAGAGCTGTCAGCTGGTATTATAAATGGCAATATTTAAGTTGTGCAAGGAGTAGGATGGTGGCTACCTGCAAGTCCTGACACTCCTTCATATCTCTCTTGCTCCCTACTTTGAGATCAGACCAATGGAATCAGACATGTAAAACCTGCAACCCACATTAACTACTTTAAGAAATGAGTGAAAGGCTTGGAGTGTTACCAAGACAACAAACAAATCGATAGAGGACTTCAGGTGGAATTACAGAATACTATGATCCATTCTAGCTCTAGTCTAGAACTTAATTCCAACTTTGGAAGTGTAATAATACTATTGTAAGCAGAATTAATGCCTTTCGAAATAAAGGAGGGAAAATTTATTTCCTTCACAAACTGTTCAACAATCTTAAATGGAGTAATTTGCTGAGAGGAGAACTCAGATCACAGCACCAGACAGCCAATTTCAAATGAATGAACCATCAGCAAAATCTCATAATGTCCTCTGGACACATACTTTCCTACTGTAGTCCCCAATACAGGATACAAGAGAAACCATATTCTGTATTAAGAGAGCAAATATTAAAGGTAGAAGAAAAGATAAAGCTATGTTAATTATATCAATGTCAGAATTTTGGACTTGATGTTGATAAAACTTGCAGAAAAAAAATTATTTCACAATGTTTATGTTAAACAGCTAGTAACTAACGTGGTTGAAATACTTAACAATGAGGACATAACTATGAAAAGAAACATGAGTCCAAGTATACATTACCTTATAAAACATCCTGTCGCCAAAGCGTAACATCTCAGCAAAGGCATTAAGCCAGCAGTGCAAAAAGGCAAAAAAAATAAGCAACAGTATCAGCACACCTAAAGATAAGATTAACAATATTAAGAGTCTTTCCAAATAGCTCACATACCAAGAAGTTAATTATCGTCATTATTTCCTTAGCTGGAATTACTTTGTAAAATAAAAGTTATTATTCCAGCTTACCCAGAGATGATACAATATCCTTTTGAAAGTTATTTATTTTAATTTGGTAAAGCATTAACTTCCTTCCAAATGGGTTTTACAGATGACAAAGGACCCAGTCTGTTTATAATAAAAATGCCTGTAAGTATGGCTCAACTTGGTACCCATGGCCTTTTAAAATGTGGCCCTTACACATTCCTCTAAACCAGTTGTTTAAAACTGGGGAAGGTTTTGCCCCCCAGGGGACATCTGGCAATTCTGGAGACATTTTTGTTTGTCACAACTTAAAGGGTAGGGGTTGGGCTACTGGTATCTAGTTCTGAGAGGCCAGGATGTTGCTAAATATCCTACGACGCACAGCCCCTCAAAACAAAGAATTATCCAGCCCAAATTGTCAATAGTGAAAAGGTTAACTTATCTCTGACTCTATTCCCAGTGTCATAAACCTCATCCATGACTGGACTTCTGATGTCGTAAATACTCCATGCTTTTGTATCCATCGCACTACCTGGAAGCACCTTTCCACCACTTCTTTGCCAGGCAAACACCTATCTATTTTTCAATATTCAACGTTAAACGTCATCTCCAATATGAAACAAAATTCATCAGCACTTTGTTTATCCTACCTATGCAGTATATATTACACTATACTGTAAAATATCCATTTACATCCCCAAGCCTTTCATTCACTTGTTTATTCAAAAAATATTTATAGAGCATCTATTATGTATTAGACAATATAGGAGAGACTAACACTGGCTGACTGAGTATAAGACACAATCACTCATCTCCAGGAATTTGTAGCCAAATGAGGAAACCACATATCCTTTAGAGGGACAGATAAAACAGTTTATTGGAGTAAATCTTGGGGGATATCAGGAAGAGTTACTAGCAGAAGCCTGGGAGAGAGGTTAAAGAAGAGAGAAGGTGATAACAGAAAACAATATCAACTTTTAATGGGTAGAGCAAAGAGAAAGAGTACGTAAGGGAAACTATAAACATAGTGAAACTGCAAGCTTCCACAGAGTAAAGAGTAGATACGTCTTGTCTTGTTCCCTGCAACATCCTCAGTACCTGGCATAGAACAGGTACTCATATATCTCTAGAAAAAATAAGTGGAATGCAGCATAACGGCAGAGTGAGCTCTCCCAGTAAACTCTCCCTGCAAAGATACAACAAAAAGGACATTCATACCCCAACAGAGGACATCCACACAACACAAAAGACATCTGAGAGACCCATGCAGCCACACAGTAGAAGGTAGGGGTGCTGGAGCCCCACCCCTACCCCAGGAAGTTGACTGAGGTAAGAGAATGCTTCTCTTCCTGATGGAAGGACAGTGACTCGGGGACTATGCACAGACTCAGGGAGGAAGGTAAGTAGGGAGCAGTGGCCCTCTGAGGGAACACCATAGATCCCTGAAGTCCCTCACAGCCCAGGGAAAAGCCCCTCACAGAGGGGACTAGCTATTACGGGGGTGTCAGCATCAAGCCAACACACCAGGAGATCGGATAGTGAGGGCACAGCAAGAAGCCCTGGAGATCACACAGGAGAAGAAAGAGCCCCTCCCCCACCAGTGTGGCCCCAGTGGCATAGCCCAGCACCTTGCAGCTGTCCCCTTGGTTTGCAGCAGGCTCAAAAACTGCAGCTCTTGGTGCCCACCTATGGTGAAAGGTGGAAGTGGCAATCAAATACTAACACAATGTGGAGGCACAAATCTACGCCATCTAGCAGCATGAAAAAATATATTAAATCTCCAGACCAGAAGGAAAATGCCAACTACCAAGAAATCAATCCTGAAGACACAGAAATCTATAACCTAAATGACACAGAATTCAAAATAGCTATCACTTAAAACCTCAACGACTTAAAAGAGAATGCAGATAGACAATTCAACAAGTTCAGAAGCTACTTCACAAAAGAGACTGAAACTATAAAGAATAGTCAAAGAGAAACACTGAAGATGAAAAACGCAATAGACAGGATAAAGCAGAATACAGATTCCCTGAACAGTAGATGTTATATCATCGAGGAATGAATCGGCATGATCAAGGACAGAAATATAGAAATGTTTCAGGTGGAGCAGTTGAAAGAACTAAGACTAAAAAGAAATGAAGAAAGTCTCCGAGAATTATCTGACTCAATAAGGAAATGCATCATAAGGATTACAGTAGGTATACGGGAAGGAGAAGAGGAGGATGGAACAGAAGGCTTATTCAAAGAAATAACAGCAGAGAACTTCTTAAACCTGGGGAAGGGGATGGAAATCTATGTGAAATAGACCACCAGATCTCCTAACTTTGTCAATGCAAAAAGACCTACTGCAAGACATATACTAGTGAAACTGTCAAAAATAAATGACAAAGGAAAAATAATAAGGGCAGCAAGGCAGAAGAAAATAACTTACAAAGGAGCCCCTATAAGGCTTTCAGCATATTTCTCTGCAGAAACCTTATAGGCTAGGAGAGAGTGGAAAGCTACACCCAAATCTTTGAAAGACAGAAACTTTCAGCCAAGAATACTCTATCCAGGGAAAATATCCTTCAGTTATGATGGTGAAATAAAAATGTTTCCAGATAAACAAAAGCTAACAGAGTTCACAGCCACAAGATCACCCCTGCAAGAAATCCTCAAGAAGGCCCAAATACCAAAAAAAAAAAAAAAAAAAAGAAGAAGAAAGCGGTTACAAAACCCTGAATAAGGAGGTAAGTAGGTAGACAAAATCAGAAAATTGGACCTACCCAGAATAACAGGTTAGCACATATTCATGTAGAACATTAGAGATAAAGCAAAGGAAAACACCAAAAACAAACAATCTTGTCATTTTAACCACCAACTCACAACACAAGATGGAATAAGATGTGACAAAAATAACTTAGGACAAGAAAAAGGAAAGGGACTGAATCAGCTTAATCTAAGGAAATTAGAGGTCATGAGAAAACAGACTATTTCATCTACAAGATTTTGCATACAAACTTCATGGTAACCACTAAACAAAAAGTAGATCAGAATCACAAATACTAAACAGGGAGAAAACTAAGGAATCTAGCATAAGCAAACTACTTAACCAAGTTGGTAGTCTGAAATACATGGGACAAGAAACAAAGAAAATACAGGACAACTGGAAAACGAGTGATAAAATGGCAGCATTAAGTCTTCATATATCAATAATCACTCTAAATGTAAACATACTGAACCCTCCAATAAAAAGACACAGAGTGGCAAGATGGATTAAAGAACAAGACCCAACAATATGCTGCCTCCAGGAAATACATCTCAGCTCCAACAACGAACACAGGCTCAGAGTCAAGGGATGGGAGATAAGCTAATGGGAAACAAAAGAAAGCAGGTGTTGCAATACTTAGAGTAGACTTCAAGATAAGACAGGTAAAGACAGACAAAGATGGGCAGTATATAATGATCAAAGGGACACTCTACCAACAAGACATAACACTTATAAATATCTACGCACTCAACAGAGGAGCACCAAAGTACATACACCAACTATTAACAAACCTAAAAGGAGATATTAACAACAAACAATAATAGTAGGGGACCTCAACACTCATCATCCAGACAAAAAGTCAACAAGGAAACAGTGGAATTAAATGAAAAGCTACACCAGATGGACTTAATAGATATATATAGAACACTCCATCCAAAAACAGCAGAATACACATTGTTCTCAAGCACACACGAAACATTCTCAATGACTGACCATATGTTGGGAAACAAGGCAAGCCTCAATAAATTTAAGAAGATTGAAATAATAACAAGCATCTTTTGAAACACAATGCTATGAAACTAGAAATTAACTACAAGAAAAAAGCTGAGAAAAGGAAAGATGTGGAGACTAAACAACATGCTACTGAACAACCAATGGACCACTGAAGAAATTAAAGGAGAAATAAAAAAATACCTGGACACAAATGAAAATGAAAACATCCATATCAACTCATATGGGATGCAGAAAAAGCAGTCCTAAGAGGGAAATTCAGAGCAATATAGGCCCATCTTAACAAACAAGAAAAATCTCAAATAAGCAATCTTAAACTATACCTAAGAGAATTACAAAAAGAACAAACAAAGCCCAAAGTCAGCAGAAAGAGGGAAATAATAAAAATCAAGGAAGAAATAAATGCAACGGAAACAAAAAGGAGAGTAGAAATTATCAAAGAAACCACGAGTTCATTCTTTGACAAGATAAACAAAACTGAGAAACTCCTAGCCAGACTTGCAAAGAAAAAAAGGGAGAAAGCTTGGATAAAATTAGAAATAAACGAGGACAAATTACAACAGATACCACAGAAATACAAATTATTGTAAGAGAATACTATGAAAAACTATATGCCAACAAACTGGACAATCTAGATAAAATAGATAAATTCTTAGACTCTTACAACCTCCCAAGCTGAATCAAGAAGAAATAGATAATCTAAATAGAACAATCACAAGTAAAAAGATTGAAACAGTAATCAAAAACATCCCAAAAAACAAAAGTCCAGAACCAGACGGCTTACCTGGTGAATTCTATCAAACATTCAAAGAAGACTTAATACCTATCCTTCTCAAACTATTTCAAAAAAATCAGGGAAGACAGAACACTTCCTAACACATTCTACAAAGCCAACATCACCCTGATACCAAAGCCTGACAAGGACAACACAAAAAGGAGAACTACAGGCCAATATCGCTGATAGACATAGATGCAAAAATCCTCAACAAAATATTGGCAACCTGAATACAGCAATATATGAAAAAGACCATATACCAGGATCAAGTGGGATTTACACCAGGGACACAGAGATGGTTTAACATTTACAAATCAATCCATGTAATACACCATATTAACAGAATGAGGACTAAAAACCACCATCTCAATAGACACAGAGAAAGCATCTGACAAGATCCAACAGCCATTTATGAAAAAAAAACTCTTAACAAAATGGGGATAAAAGGAAATTACCTCAACATAATAAAGGTCATATATGACAAACCCACAGCCAACATCATACTCAATAGGGAAAAACTGAAAGCCATCCCTCTGAGAACAGGAATAAGACAAGAGCACCCACTCTCGCCACTCTTATTCAAAATAGTACTGGAGGTTTTGGCCAGAGCAATTAAGCTAGAGAAAGGAATAAAAAGAATCCAAATAGGAAATGAAGAAGTGAAACTCTCACTGTTTGCAGACGACATGATCTTGTATATAGAAAACCCAAAAGAATCCACTGGAAAACTATTAGAAATAATGAACAACTACAGTAAAGTTGCAGGGTACAAACTCAACTTATAAAAATCAGTTACATTTTGATACTTTAATAACGAACTAACAGAAAGAGAACTCAACAATATAATACCATCTACAATTACAACAAAAAGAACAAAACATCTAGGAATAAATTTATTTTATTTATCTTTTTTTTGAGGAAGATTAGCCCTGAGCTAACTACTGCCAGTCCTCCTCTTTTTTGCCGAGGAAGCCTGGCCCTGAGCTAACATCTGTGCCCATCTTCCTCTACTTTACATGTGGAACGCCTACCACAGCATGGCATGCCAAGCGATGCCATGTCTGCACCCAGGATGCGAACCAGCAAACCCCGGGCCGCCAAGAAGCGGAACATGCGAACTTAACCACTGCACCACCAGGCTGGCCCCATCTAGGAATAAATTTAACCAAGGAGGTGAAAGACCTATACAATGAAAAGTATAAAACATTATTAAAAGAAATCAATGATGACATAGAGGAATGGAAAGATATTCCATGCACATGGATTGGAAGAATAAACATAGTTAAAATGTCCATGCTACCCAAAGCAATCTACAGATTCAGTGCAATCCCAATCAGAATCCCAATGACTTTCTTCACAGAAATAGAACAAAGAATCCTAAAATTCATATGGGGCAACCAAAGACTCCAAATAGCTAAAGCAATCCTGAGAAAAAAAGAATAATGCTGAAGGCATCACAATCCCTGACTTCAAAATGTACTACAAGCCATAATAATCAAAACACCATGGTACTAGTACAAAACCAGGCAACACAGATCAATGGAAAAGAACTGAAAGCCCAGAAATAAAACCACACATCTATGGACAACTAATCTTCAGCAAAGAGGCTAAGAACATACAATGGAGAAAAGACAGTCTCTTCAGTAATGGTGTTGGGAAAATCAGGCAGCCACACACAAAAGAATGAAAGTAGACCACTACTTTATGCCACAGACAAAAGTTAACTCAAAATGGATCGAAGACTTGACAGTAAGATCTGAAACCATAAAACTTCCGGAAGAAAATATAGGTACTACACTCTGACATCGATCTTAAAACGGTCTTATTGGATACCATGTCTTCTGGGATAAGGGAAATAAAAGAAAAAATAAACAAGTGGGAAATCTTCAGACTAAGGAGCTTTTGTTAGGCAAAGAAAACCAGAATCAAAACAAAAAGACAACCCACAAACTGTGAGAAAATATTTGCAAATCATATATCTGACAAGGTATATATAAAGGTATATATAAAAATCATATATATATTTCATTATATATAAAGAACTCACACAACTGAACAACAAAAAAACAAACCACCTAATCAAAAATTGGCAGAGAATATGAAGAGACATTTCTCCAAAGAAGATATACAGATGGCCAATAGGCACATGAAAAGTTGCTCGACATCACTAATCATCAGGGAAACGCAAATCAAAACTACATTAAGATACTACCTTACACCCGTTGAAATGGCTATAATCATTAAAACAAAAAATAGCAAATTTTGGAGAGGATGTGGAGAAGAGGGAACCCTCATTCACTGCTGGTGGGAATGCAAACTGGTACAGCCACTTTGGAAAACAGTGTGGAGATTTCTCAAAAAACTCAAAACAGAAACACTATATGACCAACGTATCCCGTTACTGGGTATCTATCCAAAGAACTTGAAATCAACAATTTAAAGTGGCTTATGCACCCCTATGTTCACTCCGGCATTATTTACAATAGCCAAGACATGCAAGCAACCCAAGTGCCCGTCGACTGATAACTGGATAAAGAAGATGTGGTCTATATATACAATGGAATACTACTCAACCATAACAAAAGACAAAATCTTCCTATTTGCAACAACATAGATGGACCTGGAGGGTATTATGTTAAGCAAAATAAGCCAGATGGAGAAAGACAAACACCAGATGATTTCAGTCATATGTGGAAGATAAAAAAAAACACATGGACAAAGAGAACAGTTAAGTAGTTACGAGGGGAAGGGGGTGGGGTGAGGGCACAGGGGATGAAGGGGAACACCTATATGGTGACAGACAAGCAATAACATACAAATGAAGTTTCACAATGTTGTAAACTATTATGAACTCAATAAAAAAATTAATAAATGAAATATTTTTTAAATGGAGCAGCAGGAGGAAGGAGCCCACTCTCTTGAGGCCTGTAGACGTTGTTTGAACATGTGTCTGGAGCTACTGCAGCCATTTTGCCACCATGAGGTGAACAAGGATGAAAGAACAGAAAGATGGAGAAAACCTGGGTCTTTGATGCCATCACTGAGCATAAATTACTCACCCTAGTTCTGGACTTCTACTTATAAGAGAAATAAAGTTTCCTTACTGTTTAGGCCAAAAAAAAACCCGTAAGTGGAATGAATGAAGTTAGGATATTGAGGTATGGCTGGAAAAACCGGAGAATAAGAAAGAGCAGCAAGAGAGATGTCAAATGTGGTCAGCAACATCCAATGCTTCATGGAGATCAAACAAAATGAGGGCTAAACCATCTACTGGATTTAGAATCAGGAGATTCTAGTGATTAAAAAAAGGCCATTTCAGGGGCTGGCCCAATGGCCAAGTGGTTAAGCTCATGTGCTCCACTTTGGCAGCCCACAGTTTTCAGATCCTGGGCGCGGACATGGCACCACTCGTCAGGCCATATTGAAGTGGCATCCCACATGCCATAACTAGAAGGACCCACAATTAAAAAAATATACAACTATGCACTGGGGGGATTTGGGGAGAAAAAGCAGGAAAAAAAGGAGAAAAAAAGATTGGCAACAGTTGTTAGCTCAGGTGCCAATCTTGGGGGGGTGAGGGGGAGCCATTTCAGTGGCCTGGCTGGATTAGGAGCAAGATTGCAGTGAAATGAATAGTAAACAGGAAGATAAAGCATAAACATGAACTATCTACAGTCAGAGGAAGCAAAACTTGAGTGACAGAGGACAAATGAAAAGACTGATCTGAGACCACAGTTTACCTCATTTATTACATTGATGGAAAGAGGTCAAGATGGGTATAGACATGTAGGTGAGTTTATAGTGACAAGCAGGAAAATGAAAGGGGGTCATATGCAATTGCTTTCCATTTTCCTTGCAACTTTATGAATGGCCAAATTAACCAGTATTCACGTTACCTGGCAAGATGGAATTAAATACACAAAGGACCAGAACACGGGCGCTGAAGGGCTCCTGTTTGATATTTCGAAACAAGGGGACGCAGAGCCTTTCGAAGATGTAGTACACATAAAAAAGGCAACCCAAAACCTGGAACATAACAAAGATATAATTACAATAATGATGGCTTGATAAGGAAAGACAGAAGGTGATTTTTTTCCTTCAAAATAAAATACATATGACCCTTAAACTATTGTTTATATATAGATTCCATTTAACACTAGTCTGTAAGACTGCCAAACTGTGGTCCTTCAGAGATATTACTCAAGCCTAATTTCTACCATATCTTTTTCCAACACTTGATCAAAGGGCATTTTCAGAAGATCAGACTCTTAGAACCTGCTTTTCTGGCTGCATGAAACCTATAAGAAAAGAATTTACTTCATAAATGGGTATTTGATTGAGATAAGAATTTATGATTCTGATAGGGGTTGGGGAAGGAGTGGGGGGGGTGGGTGTCAGACCACACCCACACAATACAATATCCAAAACTAAAAAACCAGGAGGGGAGGGGGAAATTAATGTAGACGCTTAAGCAACCAAATGGAATTACTTTAATTCAAATAAATACTTTCATTGAGGAAAATCGCTTTAGATGTTGACAAAGCAAACACCATTTACTGCACTGGAAATAGTTTAAAAGACTTCAGAAAGAGTTCTAGAGATCCCAGTAGACATGAATTTACCATCACTTTAAACAGATTATATTATTATTTCCCACCACTCTACAAACCTAAGGCAGATAAGAAAAAATTTACCTGTGCAAACTGCATAGCAACATAACTCCATCTTACAGTGGGAGTCCTAAAAAGAAACAAAATAAGCTTTGTAAATAAAGTAAATAATTTAACTTTAATAAAGATCCTCACAATCTTTTCCCAGACAGAACATCATTTTTGACATATGAAATCCTTATCGAATTCTGTCAAGAACTAGTGTAATCAAATTGGATTGCTAGAATCACCATTTGGGGCTTCCCATGCCAGCAAGAAAATTAAAACTCATTCTATATTCTCTGTAGCCCTCCATGAACTGGCCCTTGCCTACCTATCTCACCTCACTCACACCACACTTCTGGTGCTCACCACACGTCCACTTCATGGTGCCAGTACCTGGGATAGTTGTCGCGGTAGATGAGGGTAGGAGCAAATAAGAAGTACAAATACTGGTTGACTGTGGGTACTGGAACAGTCCCTGGAAAAGGAAAACTAGGCTTATATCAGAGGCACTTCAATTTCTCTCAGCAAAACGAAAAGGCAAAAATAAGGAAGCACAGAATAAGGAAGCATAAAACCACCTCTCTTAACTCCTCCTGTTTCTTCCCAACATGAGGGCTTCTCATTCTTATATTAATTGAATATTACCAATCCCTCTAAAGTAAGTTATTGCTGTGACTCAGAGATAACCTCTAAAGTTTGAAGCAGCAACTCAAAAAGGTTAAGCATACATGGGTGTGATGAGTCTATAGATTCTAAAAAATAATGCAACGTTACAAGAGTCTAATGATCAATGTTTTGGGTAAATTGTAGGTACAAAGGCAAAACAGCAACAATCAGTAAATAGTGAGATAGTCTTCCAAACCAGTATGGATCCTATATATTTAAAATCAAACAGAACATCTACAGAATGTAATATGCCATCCCAGTACACACCAAAGGCTGAAATACCCTAAGAATAATCCTTTAACCTAATGGAATTACATACTTGATTTCTTCTTAGCTGAATTTAGTACCCGAGGCACATTCTCTCTGACAAATGAATGGGCCTTCATTATCAAGCGAATCTACAAAAGGAGAGGGAAAAAAAGATTAATTTTGTATTATTGTCATCTCCTATAAGCAACCCCAGAACAACACTAGATTACAGTCACATAAAGAACTTCTTAATTTTGCATACACCAACTCAAGGTCACTTTTATAAAGTAAAGCAAATGAAAAACAAACTCTAAGGGACAAGTCATTACTCAAATCATTTTGCATGTAATAGCATTATCTATTACAGGTATATTACAAATTAAGAAATTAAAAGCTGGTTCAAAGAAAGTTGGGAACGTTCCTTTCCATTAGTCAAATAAAGCATTACAGACAGCCAATATCAGTCAGAAAATTCTGAAGGGTGTATAAACAAAATAAATCCTTTATTTAAATGAATCTGACATTTCAAAAGTAGAGTTTTTAATTACAAAAATATTTTATAATTTAGATGACTTCTACAAAAAGTGTTCAAGAATAAAATTTGAATTAATCCAGAACATTTCAATATAATTTATTTCAATTATCAAGAATCAAATAACACTGAAGCTAGAACAAATTTTAAGAGATGAGATGATCTAGTTTAACACTTTAATTTTACAGATAATAGCACAAAGAACCAGATATGAAAATTTATCCAACTAATGCAACTAAAAATAACAGAATATTAGTATTACTATTATTTTAATTAATAATAGCACTGCATTGGGCAACACTCAAAACCTTACCTGTTCAAATATAACGATGCACCGGGAAGCTGGTGGCAGTGTATATGCTAATACGACATATGTTGGTCCCAAACCCAGAATCCCCATCTGGAAGACCATGAAAAGTAAGCAATGGAAGAGAGAATGGATCACTGGATGAGAACTCTTGCTATAGCCTCTGGCCCAACGTTGAAAGAGGAAATAGGGAATTGAAAGTGTGCACAAGAACATGGTCCACCACGTCCACATAACAATAGAAAGTTTGCCAAAAGCATAAGATATGAGACTGAACTCAAGCACCAGCCTAGGAAGAAAAAGCACAGAGAGAACACATAAGTAAATTTTTTTATATGCATTGATTCACAGAATTCAACTCAGACCCAAAACTCTCAAACTTAGGAAATACAACAACATTAATACATTGAAGTAATGGATGTAACAGTTGTCCTAGATAGAGAACCACTTCTAAGTCTCGGCTTTACAACGTATCTCAACAATAAATTTTCTAAAAGTGCTAAGATAATATGGCCTTTGAACATAAGATACCTAAGATAGGGGCCGGCCGGGTGGCACAGCGGTTAAGCGCTCACATTCTGCTTCGGCAGCCTGGGGTTCACCAGTTTGGATCGCAGGTGCGGACATGGCACCACTCATCAAGCCAGGCTGTGGCAGGCATCCCACATATAAAGTAGAGGAAGATGGGCACAGATGTTAGCTCAGGGCTAGTCTTCCTCAACAAAAAGACGAGGATTAGCAGATGTTAGTTCAGGGCTGATCTTCCTCAAAAAGAAAAGATACCTAAGATAACCTAGAATAATAAGACTTTGAACTTCTCAAAGATTAGATTCTCGTATTAATAAATTTTAAACTCTACAATATTCTATGGCAAAGTTAATACTTAAAGTATTTAATCAGCAATTGCTGTTATGTACAAAGGACGATTTTTCAGAGGGAAATGGGTAAATTCCAAAATTTATTAATATACTATTATACCATTATCTTAAAATTTAATTTTCTAATAAAGCACATAAATCAATGTCTGATTACCACACTGAGATTTTTAAAGTTACAATTTGATTTTTATATTAAAAAGAAATATATTGTATTTTAAAGGTTAAATTCCAATAAGCTATTTTAACAACCTGAAATGCATACCATAGTAGAAAAACTGGCAAATCATATACACAAAATTCTCCAATTTAGGAAAATGACCTAGTAACTACCAATTACAGTCTATTAAAATAGACCATTTTAAAAAACAAAAGTAATGAAACTTTTTTTTTTCTGCTTGAAGAAAAAATTTGCCCTGAGCTAACACCTGTGCCAATCTTCATCTTTTTTTGTATGTGGGATGCCACCACAGCATGGCCACCAACGAGCGGTGTAGTGTGAGCCTGAGAACTGAACCCAGGCTGCCAAAGTAAAGCGCACCAAACTTAACCACTAGGCCACAGAGCCAGCCCTCTAATATTCTCATTAGTTGTATTTTTTAGGAGAGAGGAATCTCATCCTCAAATCAGCTGCTTTGGGGTTTTCTGAAGCAAATTTAACCAAATCACCCTTTACCAAAATTTAAATATAGTGAAAACTCCCAATACCCCATGCATCAACTGTCCAAACACCTTTTTCTTTCTTGTCTTACCTTCCTTCATCAATGTAATCTACGACAACTGTGCTGAGGATAAAGAGAATGAGGAGAGCAATAAACATGTGATATATTGTTCTGATGTGGTCCACCTCAAACAGCTCACTGTAAATGTAGTCCAAACAAATAAAATTAATAATCTATATTTAATCTTAAAACACCATAAAGACTTTACTTTAAAGCTGCTCAGAAGATGCTTAATCCAACCTCCAAAAACATCTCAAACAGTAATCAGAGAATATTAAACCTGAGGTAGAAAGAGTAAATGAAATGACCAATGTAAAAACTTAAGGAAGAGCTTAGAACAAGGCTCTTTCCAATAAAATGATACTGTCCCCTAGAAAACAGCATGGATATCAAACACTTAAAACAAATGGTGTGCATTCTTGAAAACCTGCCAGGAACAGCAGCTTTCAAAGGTAGACAAAAGGCCATTCACTGAAAACAGGCAACACAGAAACTATTTCAAACGCTAAAAAGTTTTGAAAAAATCCTTCTTACATTCCACTCTCTACACTTAACTAATATACAGGAAATATATCTATTTCCAAGAAGTATTCACATATGCATTTCTATATTGTTGATGATAACCAACTACCACCTGTGTGTCTATAAACTTCACCATTTACAAATGCTTTTACTTTCTATCCTCATAGATGTTTTTATTTGACTAAGACTGAGCTACTTTTCTTTTAAAGTATAACAACGACTTTCTAGATGACTTTTTCTAAATAAGTTTTTATATTTGACTAAAGATTTTTAGCTTTGTTTTTAGAAAAATATATGCTAATCTTCTAAATAACTTTCTGAAGAATCTAAAATACTATTAAATCTCTAGATTAAGGATCTTCAAATTCTACTAAAAGCCCACCTAAGCCATAGAATGTGTTTCATTTTCTTGGTTAAAAACATTTTCTAATTAAATGGTATTTTAATTTTGTTTATTTTTCATATAGTACAATTCTATCATTAAAATCTTACTTATAGTGTTCCAAGTAATTGTTTTATATTACCTTTTATGTGAAAAGCCCACATATCCCCCCAAATACAGATTTTAAAATATAAATCTCTTCAAACAATAATGTCACAAAATACTGAAATGGTATTCTACGTTACATATTCAAAAAACTTTGGCCTTCTCATCAAAGTTAAGTAATACAGGTGAATTGGCTCACAGAAAGTGAGCTCTAGCAAGCATAAGATGCATTTTTAAAGATAAGAATATTAAGACACTTAGATAATTTTTTACAAAGCTATTTCAGATGACCTACACTAACACAGGTTAAATTACAGCAATATTCTAATAAATGAATGAATGAGTAAATAAATAATCTACTCACAAAGCATGGCAAAGCAAATATTCATTACCCACCCAAAGTGTACCTTTAATTTTCAGTTCACAAATGAGGTCACCAAAATTAATTTTCATTGCCTACTAATTTTTTCACGAAATCCATACAATCAGCAGTCTAAAATAAGTAAATCTGAGAAAACTATGAAGTCTCTAAACTGCTAGCCAAAGAAGAGACAACAAAAATTTACACAGGCATATCTCATTTTATTGTGCTTTGCTTTATTGTGCTTAACATATATTGCGGGTTTTTTTACAAATTGAAGGTTTGTGGCAACCTTGTGGCAAGCAAATTTTTCACTGACACTTTTCTAACATTTGCTCACTTCATGTCTCTGTGTCACATTTTGGTAATTCTCACAATAGTGCAAACTTTTTCATCATTATTATATTTGTTATGGTAATCTGAGATCAGTGATCTTTGATGTTACTATTGTAATCGTCTTGGGATGCCACGAACCATGCCCATAGAAGATTACAAACGTAATCGACCGATCTGACTGATCTGATCCACCAACCGGCCATTCCCTGTCTCTCCCCCTGTCCCAGGCCTCCCTATTCCCTGAGACACAATGCTATTGAAATTAGGCCAACTGATAAGCATTCAATGGCCTCTCAGTGTTCAAGTGAAAGGAAAAGTTGCAGTCTTACACTTTTAATCGAAAGCGAGAAATGAGAAAGCTGACTGAGGAAGATATGTTGAAGCCAAAATAAGACAAAAACTAGGCCTCTTGCACCAAACAGTTAGCCAAGTTGTAAATGCAAAGGAAAGGTTCTTGAAGAAAATTAAAAGTGCTACTCCACTGAACATACAAATAAGAAAGTGAAACAGCCTTATTGCTGATCTGGAGAAAGTTTTAGTGGTCTGGATAGAAGATCACACCAGTCACAACATTCTCTCAACCAAAGCCTAATCCAGAGCAAGGCCCTAACTCTCTTCAATTCTGTGAAGCCTGAGAGAAGTGAGGAAGCTGTAGAAGAAAAGTCTGAAGTTGGAAGAGGTTGGTTCATGAGGTTTAAGGAAAGAAGCCATCTTCAAAACATAAAAGTGCAAGGTGAAGTGCTCAGAGCGAAGTGCTCATGTAGAAGCCGCAGCAAGTTATCCAGAAGATCTAGCTAAGGTAACTAATGAAGGGGCTAAACAACAGATTTTTTATGCAGACGAAACAGTCTGATATTGGAAGATGTCATCTAGGACTTTCATGAGTCACTGCCTGGTTTCAAAGCTTCAAACCACAGGTTGATTCTCTTGTTAGCAGCTAATGCAGCTGGTGACTTAAAGCTGAAGTCAGTGCTCATCTACTGTTCTGAAAATCCTAAGGCCCATAAGAATTATACTAAATCTACTCTGCCTGTGCTCTGTAAATGGAACAACAAAGCCTGGATGACAGCACATCTGTTTACAACATGGTTTACAGAATATTTTAAGCCCACCATTGAGACCTACTGCTCAGAAAAAAAAGATTCCTTTCAAAATATTACTGCTCATTGACAATGCACCTGGTCCCTCAAGAGCTCTGATGGAGATGCAGAATGAGATCAGTGTTGTTTTCACGCCTGCTAACACAACATCCGTTCTGCTGCCCATGGATCATGGAGCAATTTCAACTTCGAAGTCTTATTATTTAAGAAATAAACTTCATAAGACTACAGCGCTGCCATAGATAGTGATTCCTCTGACAGATCTGGGCAAGGTAAATTGAAAACCTTCTGAAAAGGATTCACCATTCTAAATGCCATTAAGAACACTTGTGATGCCTGGGAAGAGGTCAAAATGTCAACATCAACGGGAATTTGGAAGAAGTTTATTCCAACTCTCAAGGTTGACTTGGAGTTGTTCTAGACTTCAGTGGAGGAAGTAACTGCAGATGTGGTGGAAATAGCAAGAGAACTAGAATCAGAAGTAGAGCCTGAAGATACGACTGAATTGTTGCCATCTCATGATAAAACTTTAATGGATGAGCAAAGAAAGTGGTTTCTTAAGATGGAATCTTCTCCTGGTGAAGATGCTGTGAAGACTGTTGAAACAAAGAGTTTAGAATATGACATCAAATTAGTTGATAAAGCAGCAGCAGGGTTTGAGAGGACTGACGCCAATTCTGAAAGAAGTTCTATTGTGCATAAAATACTATGAAACAGCATCACATGCTACAGAGAAAACGTTCATAAAAGGAAAAGTCAACGGACAGGGCAAATTTCACTGTGGTGCTATTTTAAGAAACTGCCACAGCCACTCCAGCCTTCAGCAACCACCACCCTGCTGAGTCAGGGACCATCAACATGGAGGCAAGACCCTCCACCAGCAAAAAGATTATGACTCACTGAAGGCTCAGATGATGGTTAGCATTTTTTAGTAGTAAAGTATTTTTAAATTAAGGTACATAGATTTTTTTTAAACATAATGCTGTTATATGATTAACAGACTATAGTATAGTATAAATGTAACTTTTATATTACATTTAATATTACAGGAAACCAAAAAAGTTCGTGTGACTCACTTTATTGTGATACTCACTTCGTTAACAGTGTTCTGGAACTGAACCTGCAATATCTCCAAGGTATGCCTGTATATCAAGAAGGTAGCAACACCAAAACTCTCTCAAAGTGGTTTACCAAATTATAAAACTTCTGTTCTAGTTCTTTGGGTAACCAATTCTCTGCAGCACAACTTCAAGGCATTTATCAGAGGACAGATAACTGTTCTTATCTCTAAATCTTCCTTTGCAACAAGATACAGAACCAGAAGATCAGAGAGAAGAAGCAAGAGACAAATGTACAAAAAGAAGTATCAAAACTAATAATTTATATGAATATAGAACAAACTCATTAAACATTCACAGATTAAGCAGTGATTCTAACAATCAGAATAGTTTTATTTTTTTTTAATTCAAGCTAATAATTAACAAAAGCAACAAAAAATACTCACTCTAAGAGAGACTGCCTTACAACAAAAATCTTTCCATGTTCTGGAGGTGCTCTCAGATCTCTGAGAAGAGCAAAAAATTAAAACAAAATATAAGTACCTCAAGTATGATAAGAAATTTAACCCTAAGGATAAGAGAAAGAATGTTACCAACTATAGCATGTAACATCAACAGCCTTCTCACTGTGATCCAGGTACTGTGTTAAGGGTTTTACGCGTGTTACCTCATTTACTCCTTCTGAACATGCTATGAGATAGGTACACGCAAATCTGGTTTGGAAGAGACACGAGGCACACCTAACTAGAGCAGCATTCAAAGGGGCCCCATAGCCCACCTATGGAAATGCATTCCTGGCAACACACACTGAACACCATTCCACCTTCTCCTAGATATCCAGGAGGTCAGACAGGCCCCCAGCCATACTTTACTTCAGTTGACATACTGTTATTGGTCAGTCCTCCAAATCTGCATGATGTTTAAGATTCCCTCCCTAATTTCAAAAGACTTCCAACAACCCTCAAAAGCCTACTGATCTTAAAGGTTGCCTCTAGTTACTAAAATCACGCATCTTAACATCTAGCATTATCATCTTCTTTAAGGCTTTTTGCACTACTGCCAGCACTTCTTTCGACTATTTCTGGTTAAAACTGTCCTCCAGAATGGAAGAGACTGACAGAGACCACAGAGGCATAAACCCAAGGAAAGCACGGAATGGCAAATTAGTACACACTGGCCTTTGACAGCCATCCCTCTACTGCTCTGGATGACTGACGAATTGGAAACACATATACTAATTGAACTGTACTTTATTACAAGTATTGTATAGAGCACAATACAGAGTCAGTATAATGATGTGCTGCAAAGCACAGACTCTGAATTCAAATTCCAGCTGTGTATTCCTGGACAACAGTTAACTGCTCTCTGCTTCAGTTCCTGATATGTAATATGCAGACAGTTACAGTGTCTACCTCACAGAGTCCTTGTTTGGTTTAAATGTAAAATATCCAACAAGTGTGGGCTCTATTATTTTATTAGTGTAGTCTTAAATGAGGTATGCATGTTTATTATAATGCACACATTAAGATGAAGAAGCTTGCCCTTCAAATATTTAAATAATTTGCCCAAGTCAACACACAGATAAGAAAAAGTGGTGCTAGGAGGTGAATCTAGTCATTTTTATGGCAATTCTGTCCACTGAGCTATAGAAGAGTAGATGTTTGCATTACAAGAACTAATACTCATACTTACTTAGCTCTATGGTTGTTCTCTCCTTTAAGAACAGAAAAGGTTGTGACAGCACATCCACCATTGTCTAATGATGCTGATTTTTCAATGAGACTGGTCACAAAATCATCAAAGTGACTGCCAACTTCCTTCATAAAAAATGGCTTTAATTCCTAGAATTTTAAAACAAATAAAGGAAAATATTAGGAACTAACAAATGCTGATGAGTTATTACCATTTTTCTAAAGGGTTCTCTTTAACAGAGCTGGATCAAAAGAAATCCATGTTAAGTGAGTTCAGAGTAAAAACACAAAAATGACTTCTATTGCTAACCTTAGTTTCAGAAATGGCTACTGGAAAAGCAACATGATGATTTATGTATTTTTAAAGATTTATAACCTTTTAAGCATAAATCAAGATATCAAAACAATCACCTACTAAATGAACTCCTACGAATGATATACAAAAGCAAAATAACAGAAATGATAAAAATGATAGTCTATTTTTTTTCTCATCAAGTTTTATCTGGAAAACAATAAAAAGTAAAAACCAGGGGGTTGGCCCCGTGGCCGGGTAGTTAAGTTCACGCGTTCCGCTGCAGGCAGCCCAGTGTTTCATTGGTTCGATCGTGGGCGCAGACATGGCACTGCTCATCAAGCCACGCTGAGGTGGCGTCCCACATGCCACAACTAGAAGGGCCCACAATGAAGAATATACAACTATGTACGGGGGGGCTTTGGGGAGAAAAAGGAAAAAATAATAAAATCTTTAAAAAAAAATAAGTAAAAACCAGTATCATATCACCATTAATTTTAAGTCCCCTTTCTTCTCAAGCAATACCTTGACCCCCAATATAAAAAAATATTTATATTTTATATCATGTCATTACTGTATGACACCAACATTTACAAAATAATGTTTATTCCTACCTCCATAGCCATATATTTATCTCACCAAAACACACATAATTTCATAATATAAAATTGTTATACATTTTGGTCCCAGACAATCTTCAACATCTTAAAACTTACATATCCACAAGTTTTTGAGAAGTATTAAGCAAAAAAAGTTTCTTCAGATAATAACAGATGACCTACTGTGGATGCTCAAATTATAAATTTGGATATTTTTAAACTGATAGGGCCCATCTATATAAAGAAAGCAAGTGTTACTTACAAATTCCTTAAGGAAAAAAAAAGTGCCTTTTGCTCCAACTAAATTATTTAGATTGAACCTAAAATATCTCAAGTAGCATTTTTCCAGGTTCTGTTTTATCACAAGTTTCACCAAGTCCTTTAAAAGTAAAGCCTAAAGGGGCCGGCCCAGTTGCATAGTGGTTAAGCTCATGCTCTCCACTTCAGCAGCCCAGGGTTCGCAGGTTCAGATCCTGGGTGCAGACATAGCACTGCTCATCAAGCCACACTGTGACAGCATCCTACATAAAAAAAATAGAAGACTGACACAAATGTTAGCTCAGGGCTAATCTTCCTCACCAAGAAAAAAGAGTAATGCCTAAAGAGGAGTGGGTCAGCATCATGGCAGAGTGAGCTCTTTCCTTAGACTCTTCCTCCTAAGATATAATGAAAATGACATTCATAAACTAACAGAGAACATTCACAGAACACAAAAGACATCTGAGAGAACCACGGAGTCATACATCTGAAGGTGGAGATGCTGCACCTCCTGAAAGGAAGTGGGGGAAGGTAAGAAGATCCCCTCTTCCTCCCGAACAGCAGCACACCAGGGCACGGGAACGTGCGTGGCTCTGAGAAGAGAGAGGGGAGGAGCAGCTCTCCACAGGAACACCTTCGCTCTCCACATTCCCTCACAGCCAGTGGGAAAGGCCCACACAAAGGTGGCTAAGCTATTGAGGGAGTGTCTTCATTAAGCCAGCACCCCAAGAAAGCAGAGAGTGAGGGCAGAGTGAGAAAGCCCCTGGGAATATGCACGTGAAAGAAAGCACCCATACCCCCTGCCCATCGCTCCAGTTCAGCCAGTCAGCCAGAATGCCCATAAATACATTAGAAAAGCAGCAGCATTGAGCGAGCTAGCCGGCAATTACAGACAAGGCTGTCAGCGTAGATTCTAAGAGCAGGCTCAGATGCCAGCGATTGTGGCAAGCTCAGAATACACAGCTCCTGACCCACCCCCAGTGACAGTAGGTGGAATCTGTGACTATGCAAAGGCACAACTCCATGCCATCAAACGGTATGAAAAAATACATTACTACTCCAAACCAGAAGGAAAATGACAAGCACCCAGAAATCAATCCTGAAGGCAGAGAAATTTACAATCTAAATGACAGAGAACTCAAAATAGCAACCATAAAAAAAGTCAGTGAGTTACAAGAAAACACAGATAAACCATTCAATGAAATCAGGAACAAAATTAATGAACAGAGGGAATTCTTCACAAAAGAGATTGAAACAATACAAAAAAACCAATCAGATATGTTGGAAAGGAAAAACACAATGGATGAGATAAAGAAAAATCTAGAATCCCTGAATAACAGAGCTGATATAGTGGAGGATAGACTTAGCAGTCTGGAGGACAGAAATATAGAAAAGCTATAGATGGAGGACGAGAGAGAATTAAGACTAAAAAGAAATGAAGAGGGGCCAGCCCGGTGGTGCAGCGGTTAAGTGCACACATTCCGCTTCGGCAGCCTGGGGTTCACCAGTTCGGATCCCAGGGGCAGATGTGTCACCACTTAGCATGCCATGCTGTGGTAGGTATCCCACATTTAAAGTGGAGGAAGATGGGCACGGATGTTAGCTCAGGGCCAGCCTTTCTCAGCAAAATGAGGAGGATTGGCAGTAGTTAGCTCAGGGTTAATCTTCCTAAAAAAAAAAAAAAAGAGAGAGAGAGAGAAATGAAGAAATATCCAACTCAATTAGGAAATGCAACATAAGAATTATACGTATTCCAGAGGAGAAGAGAGGGAAATGGAGCAGAAAGCTTCCTCAAAGAAATAACAGCTGAGAACTTCCCAAACCTGGGGAAGGAGCTGGAAATACAAGTAAAAGAAGTTAAAAGAACTCCTAATTATACCAATGTAAAAAGACTTTATCCAAGGCATGTATTGGTAGAACCAGCAAAGTCAATGACAGAGAAAAAATGTAAAGGGCAGCAAGACAGAAAAAAATAACCTATCAAGGAACCCCTATCAGGCTTTGGGTGGATTTCTCAGCAGAAACCTCACAGGCTGAGACAGTGGAATGATATATTCAAAATTCTGAAAGACAAAAACTTTCAGCCAAGAATACTCTAACAAAAATATCCTTCAGATATGATGGAGTAATAAAAACTTTCCCAGATAAACAAAAGCTGAGGGAGTTCATCACCACAAGATACCCCCCGCCCCAAGAAGTGATCAAGATCATCACACCTGAAGAAAAAATGAAAGGGTTTACAAAGCCTGGAGCAAGGAGATAAATAGGCAGACAAAATCAGAAAAGCACAGCTCTCTATCAGAACAGGTTAGCAAACACATCATTATAACATTAAAGATAAAGGGGAGGAAAACATCAAAAATAATCTCATCATTTTAACCACAAACTCACAAGACAAGACGGAAAAGTTGTGACAACAACTTAGAAGAGGAAGAGGAAAGGAATAGAATCGGCTTAGACTAAGGAAATAAGAGGCTATCAGAAAACAGACTATCTCACCTACGAGATTTTAAAACAAACCTCATGGTAACCACTAAGCAAATAGTCAGAGAAGAGACACAAATAATAAATAAAGAGAAAACCATCATAGAGAGCCACCAAACTGAATGGGTAGTCTGAAATACATGGGATGAGAAACAAAGGAAATAAAAACAACTGGAAAAATGAGTCATACAATGGCAACATTAAGCCCCCATGTATCAATAATCACTCCAAATGTAAATGGATTGAATTCTCCAATCAAAAGACATGGAGTGGTGGGATGGGTTAAAAAACAAGATCCAACAATACGCTGCCTCGAGGAAACACATCTCAGCTCTAAAGACAAACACAGGCTCAGAATGAAGGGACTGAAGAAGATACTCCAAGCTGATGGCAAACAAAAGAGAGCAGGCTTTGCCACACTTATTATCAGACAAAGACTTCAAGATAAAAAAGGAAATGAGAGACAAAGAGGGGCAGTATCTAAGGAGAAAAGGGACATTCCACCAAGAGAACATAACACTTATATATGTACCCAACAGAGGAGCACCAAAGTACATAAATCAACTATTAAGTGAACTAAAGGAGATATTAACAGCAAGACAATAGTAGGGGACCTTAACACCCCACTTACATCAATGGATAGATCATCCAGACAGAAAGTCAACAAGGAAACAGTGGCTTTAAAAGAAAAACTAGACCAGACGGACTTAACAGATATATTTATAGAAGCCAGCATCCAAAAGCAGTAGAAGAGACATTCTTCTCAAGTGCACATGGAACATTCTCAAAGATAGACCATATGTTGGGGAACAAGGTAAACCTCAATAAACTTAAAAAGAGTGAAATCATATCAAGCATCTTTTCCAACCATAATACTATGAAACTAGAATCAACTACAAGAAAAAAGCTGAGAAAGGGACAAACATGTGGAGACTACACAACATGCTACTGAACAACAAATAGTTCAATGAGGAAATTAAAGGAAGACTCAAAAAGTATCTGGAGACACATGAAAATGAAAATACACCATACCAATTCATATGGGATGCAGCAAAAGCTGTCCTAAGAGGGAAATTCATAGTAATACAGGCCCACCTTAAAAAAAGAAAAACCTCAAACAAGCAATCTTAAACTACACCTAACAGAACTGGGAAAAGAAGAAAAAACAAAGCCTGAAGTCAGCAGAAGGAGAAAAATAAAAATTAGAGCAAAAATAAATGAAATTGAAGCCAAAAAACAGTAGAAAGGATCAACGAAACTAAGAGCTGGTTCTTTGAGAAGATAAACAAAATGGACAAATCCCTAGCCAGACTCACTAAGAAAAAAAGAGAGAAGCCTCAAATAAATAAAATTAGAAACGAAAGAGGAGAAATTACAAAGGATACCACAAAAATATAAAGACTTATAAGAGAAGGCTATGAAAAACTACATGCCAACAAATTGGACAATCTAGAAGAAATGGTAAATTCTCAAGATTCATACAAACTTCCAAAACTGAATCAAGGACAAATAGAGAA